CGGCCTTGCCGTCCCGCACCGTTTCCTTCCAGCTCCTCTGTGCCCACCCCGTGTCGGCGCTGGGGCCGCAGAAAGCCATCAGCCTGTTCCTTGCTCACAGCCCCATGGCGTCCACAGGAATGAACAGGCAGGCGCTTTGGTGGAGGGAAGACCAGGGGCCACAGGAGCCCGAGGTGGCCCTCACGCTGGCCGGGAAGTTAGGGTCGCCTCCCTGAAGGCTGCGGGAGGATGAGCAGGAGTTGCCGGGAGTGGGCTGGGGAAGGCCTGTCCGCAGGAGAGCCAGCCAAGGCCCAGGGAGTCGCAGTGGGACTGTCCCTCGGACTCCACCCCAGCCGGCGCTGAGCCCCAGGTCCACACCCGTGGCTGGTCCCACCCAGTGTCTCAAGCTCAGAATTGCCCTTGGCTGTCCCTGCGTAGCCTACACATTGTCCCTATACACCCTGCGTGTGTTTCCGCAGTTTCCCGAGTACGATGATCTCTACTGCAAGTACTGCTTCGTGTACGGCCACGACTGGGCCCCCACCGCGGTAAGTGGCCCCGGCCCACCTCACGCCTTGGGACCTGGAGGTTCTGAAGGCCGGACGCACCCCTTCCCTCCCAGTTCAGAACCATTGGAAAGACAGACATCGTTCAGAGGGGGTCCCACAGGGGCTTGTTCCTGGTGAAGCTGGAGTGGGGAACGCAGACACCACTGTTCCCGCTCCGCCCTCCTCCATGGCCGTGCCTGCTCATGCCCCGATCCGGGAGCTGGCACGTGGCAGCAAGCGTCGGCCAGAATGCCGGCCGGAGCTGTGGACATCCTGGGCCGGGCCTTCATGGTCTGGCCTCCTCAGCCTGTGCTGACTCTGGAGCCCTCCCGTCACGACTTCCCAGGGACCAGCCCGTCTCCCCCAGGCCAGGCCCCCGGCCGCTCCACGCTTGCTGTTGGCAGCCCTCCTGTGACCCTCACTGGCGGGCGCAGGGCCAGCGGGTGCTGAGGAGAGGACGCCGCTGGAGGGAGGGCAGAGGCGGCTCCTGAAGGTGCCAGTCCAGGGAGGTGCAGGCCCAGCAGCTCTGAGTTCCCCTGGTTTGGAAGTTGGTGCTTTGGCAGAAGACAGTGAGAAAACAGCCCTCCCAGCTGCCTGCCCGGGGAGGGGGGGCATGGATGCTGGCGCTGGACACAGGGTCGGTGTCTCCTCAGGGGCTGGAGGAGGGGATCTCCCAGATCACATCGAAGAGCCGAGACGTGCGGCAAGCGCTGGTGTGGAACTTCCCCATCGACGTCACCTTCAAAAGCACCAACCCCTTCGGCTGTGAGTCTGCAGGAGCCCTGCTGGGGGGGGGGGGGGCACCCCAGGGCAGTCTCAGCCTCAGCCTCCTGCCCACCACGTCCATCCGCTGGGCCCTAGCACCAGCCTGATACCGTGCCATCTGGCCGCTTCCCTCCATTCTTCCCCCTCCCACCCAGTTCATCTCCACGAGGTTCAGAGTGAGTCAGGGGGGGCCCCAGCCTGAAGCCCGGGCCACTTGGAGCGCTGAAGGGCAGAGCGGCGCCCAGGCTGGGGGTCTGCAGTGCTGGTGGGCTCCCGCAATCTCCGCACAGGCTGCGCCCCAGCAAACCCGCACCCTGCTCCTCCGCGCAGCCCCTGCGTGGCCTCTCCCCGCCCGGGACCTTCCCCACCCCACATCGGACCCCTCCAGAGGCTCCCTGGCCTCCAGGACTCCCTCCCGCCTGCTGTGTGCGAGGCCCTGTGTGGGCCCGTCCTGTCATGGGCACATCACTCTCCGTGCTTTCCCCACGTTGGGAAACTGACGGCTTCCGGCCATCCCGGCAGCTGAGCATGATTTACCTTCAGGGCCACTGGACATCACAGTCCCAGCCTTCCTGCTGCATGGGCCGGGCCGGGCCGGGCTCCCCGGGGCAGGGGGTCTGGAGCAGGGCTGCCTGGCGGCCCGTCTAGACAGGGACCGCCCTCCTGCTGTCATCCTCACGAGCAAGAAGCTTCCATGGCTTCCTCGAGCGGGGCCCAGAGGGTGACCATGTCCTCTGGCTGAGGACAGCTCAGAGCGGCAAATCAAATACTAAAAGGCAGAAAGACGACACAGCCCCTTGAAGGCATCAGGGGGCAAGCAGAGTAGTGTGTTACCAGGCCAGGATCTAGGAGAAAACCAATCCAACAAGGTGACTGAAAGGTGCGGGGTCGGGGGAGTGAAACAACTATGTGAGAGTCACATCGATTGGTGAACCTGCAACCCAGGTACATGCCCTTGACCGGGAATCAAACCCAACACACTTTGGTGTGTAGGCTGACACTAACCACTGAACAAGATGGCCAGGGTGAGTATCAAGACATGACAGCCTCCCTGGTTCAGGGCCCAAGAATCGCTATGCAGAACTCTAGAAGGGGTGGGGTGCAGGGCCTCAGGTAAGTCCTCCCAGCTTGGCCAAGACCTCAAAGAGCTGTGCCCTGGAATGAGGAGGGAGTGAAGGTGGGCCAGCCCCACAGATTGCAGCCCAGCCCCTGTCCATTCCAGACTTGACCAAACAAAATATTTACAAACGGAATCTAGCAGAATACAGAAGATGATAATACATGAGCAAGTAGTGTTTATTTTAGAAATACAAAGCTCACCTAGCATCTAAAATAAACCAGTGTGATCTACCACATTGGAAAGTCATGATCACCCCCATAAATGAAGAAAGCGTAATGAATTTCAACATCCATTCTTTTTATTGATTACAGAGAGGAAGGGAGAGGGAGAGAGATGGAAACATTAATGATGAGAGAGAATCATTGATCAGCTGCCCCCTGCACGGCCCCCACTGGAGATCAAGCGATGACGAGATGCCTGGGTATGTGCCCTGACAGGTGCAAGCAATGATCTCCTCGTTCATGAGTTGACGCTCAACCACTGAGTCTCACTGGCTGGGCTCAACATCCACTCTTTTTTTTTTTTTTTTAACATCCATTCTTGATAAATATTTAGCAAAGTAGGAATAGAGCGAAGCTTCCTTACTCCCATAAAGGCTATCTACGAAAACTTAGAGGAACATCACTGCTCGTGAACTGTCGAAGGATCGCCCTCCGAGGTCAGGTGCTTGTTATCACCAACACTGCGCACATAAAGGGCATAAGAATCGGGAAGGAAGCACAAAATTATCTACGGGTGACGTGATTATGTAGAATGCCCAAAGTAACCTACAAATAAATTATCAGGCGATACACTGGCATGCATGCTGTTGATAGGATTAATAAAGAATCAGTTGCTTTTTGTGTAAGAATAAATAGAATACATAAATATTCTATTCTGTATAAGAAGTAAATAGAAAATGATACTTTAAAAGTGAGACACATAAAATATCAAGATACAACTTGTGCTCCCAGATGTGAAGCTTTGCAAAGTGCAGTGACTGAGGCAGCAGCGTTGCCACAGGACAGACAGACAAGCACAGAGCCGGCCCGCACCAGCGCCTGCAGGCAGCTGACTGACAGGCGCTGCCCAGATGCAGGGAGAGTCTTTTGTGTGTGTGTGTATGTATGTGTGTGTGAGTGTGTGTGTGTGTGGAGTGTGAGTGAGTGTGTGTGTGTGAGAGTGTGTGTGAGTGTTGAATGTGTGAGTGAGTGTGAGTGAGAGTCTTTGGTAAGCGGTGCTGGGACGAGCGGATGTGCACCGGGTGGAAGAGGAAGCAGACCCCTACTTGTGTTACACACACAGACGGATGCCCGTGGGTCTGCAGATGCCGATGGGAAGAGCCAGCTTCCTTCAGGAGGACAGCACGGCGCTGGTGCCAGGCCGCGGGACGGGGGCCTCAGGAAGGGCGTCCGCAGCTTCTGGTCAGAAGAGAGTGAGGAGAGCGCAGAATTCACACCCGTTCCAAGCCCGCGAGAAAGCCCGTCCTGTAGGAAAGGGGCAGGAGACACAGGCTCGCGTGGCCAAGACCCAGGACAAGTGCCAGCTCCTCCAATGAGAACGCGTCCCCCCAACATGCTGGGTTAGCGAAGCGGGTACATGGCGAGAAGGTTCACTTACAGGAAGTTCAGAAAAGGGGACGACCAAAGTGCCCGCCTGCGGGGATGCATCTTTGGCAAAGGAGTGGCTTCATGAAGTGCTGGGCGGTGGCGGCCTTTGGAGCTAGTGACGGGCAGGCACAGCGCACCCCCCCCCCCCACTACACGGCCTCAGGCCCCGTCCAGGCCTCGAGGAGGCGGAGCACTGCAGGCAACTAGGGCTAGCGGCCGCCAGGTCAGCCCCCACTGCGTCCGCCCCGCTACCATCATCGGGGCATGGCGAGATGCCTTGATGTAAACAGAACAGGTGTAATTGCTAATATTTTGTATTGATTTTTAGAAAGAGGAAGAGAAACATTGATGTGAGAGTGAACATCCATCAGCTGCATATTGCATGCCCCTACCAGGGTTCAAGCCTGCCACCCGGGCATCGAACCAGCAGCCTTTTGGTAGTGAGCCCCACCAGCCTGGTGTAGTTCCTCGTGTGTATAGGAGGTGCAGGAAGGCCTTTGCTTTCTCTCTGACGTCTCCCCCTGACAAACCAGCCGCCTGGCCCTCCCTAAAGGGCTCCAGAGCCACTTCTATGTGTCTGATGACAGGCGGAGGGCAGCACCCGGGCTCTGACTCTGGCATTGGCCAAGCCAGGGGCCTGCCCTGCAGGTTCTGGTTCCCCTCACCTGGACCTGGACCTGGGCTGCAGGAGCTGTTGGTGCTGCAGGGGTGCCAGGTCTGCACCTGGGCTTGAGCACCCTCCTCCCCTCTGCCTGCACCCTGCCCCCCCCATGGCCCACATGCGGACCTGCCTTGTCCTCCCAGGGCCACAGATTGTGCTCAGCGTGTACGGACCAGACGTGTTCGGGAACGACGTGGTCCGCGGCTACGGGGCAGTGCACGTGCCTTTCTCGCCTGGCAGGTAGGCCCTCACTCCTGCCCTCCGGCACAGCCCGTCCCTCACTGGGCCGTTCTGGCTTAGGAACTGGCATCACCCGCAGGGCTCTTCCTGGGACAGACTTCACCTCTCGGCCAGGAATGTGCTGTTGCCCAGGGTTCTGGGCAGCTCAGCTTGGGTGGTGGGGGCAGAGCCCATATCTGGAAGGGACCTAAGTGGGCGAGGTTCATGCTGCTGCCCGAACACCACGGGATGGAGGGAGTGCTGGGCATCCTGAGGGCTGCGCCCACTCCGAGGGGCCTGGGCAGGTAGGGTCTGGAGTGCACGCAGCCCTTCATCTCTCCCACCCAGTGCTCTGCAGCAGAGGATACGGAAGTGTCAGACACGTGTGGCCGTGGGCTCTGCCCTCAGGAGCCCCTAGAGCCGTGGCCATGGAGAGGCGCCGCCCTGCCAGGCACTGCTGGGAGGGTGTGGACTGGGCTGGCGCACACAGCAGGCCGAGGTCAGCTGCCTGGAGCCGGCCGAGAGGAGGCGCCGGGTGCGCTGCTCTGAGTTCTGTTAAAACAAGGGCCAGACTTGGAGGCCGGGGGAGAGGAGGGGGGACAGGCCCCGGGCTCTGAGGGTGAGACGGGCCTGGGGCAGGGCACCAGGGCGGGGCCGGAGTCCAGGGTTGGTCAGGGCTTCCTGGGGGAAGGGCACCGCGCTGGGCCCTGAAGATGGCAGAGCATGTGGACATTTGGAGGATGGCTCTAAGGGGCACGTGGGCACCGGTTTGAGGTTTGTCGCCTCAGCATCCTTCTGGCCCCTTAAAAGAGCAAAAGGCTCACGAGGTGCAGCTCTGCGAGGCTGGCTTCGTGCCACACCAGGCACACGCCACGCCCGTGTGCTGCCCGCTGCTGGCCGCTGGCCGCTCGCTGGAGGCTCTGGCATCGGCGTTGCTGCTCTGTCCCTCAGCACATGTGTCAAAACTTCTGTTTCAGGCACAAAAGGACCATCCCCATGTTTGTCCCAGAATCTACATCTAAGCTGCAAAAGTTCACAAGGTGAGTGCCTGCAGGGAGCGCTGGTGGGGCTGTCAGGGGAGGCTGAGCCTCGGGCCTTGGCCCTCACCACCTCCAAGTGGGAGTGGGGGACCAGCTAGGCCCTGGCTGACTGGCCAGTGGGTGGGGACAGCAGCCTCCATCAGCTCAGCCATAAGCCACCGCTGCTCCCCAGCAGGTCAGCAGGCCCGACCCTCTGTTCACCAGCAGGACAAGGGGAAGTGCAGGACCAGCTGGGCTCCGGGGTGGCAGCTGGCACACTGCCCCTGTGGGCTGGGCCGGGAGACCGGGGCGGAGGGGCAGCATTGGGCCAGGACTGAGACGGCCTCACTGAGTTCTGAGGCCTGAGGAAGGGAGTGGGTGCCTCAGGCCCCTAGAGGCCCCTCAGGGAGGCCGCCATGATGGGTGGAGGCGCGACAGCACCGTCCCCTGGGCTGTTGGGGAAGCGGGGCAGTGCCTGTCAGCGGGCGCAGGAAGGTCAAGGGCTGTGAGAGCCACAGCCGTCCTGCCCGGGGGTGCACTGCTGCACCCCAGCTCCCAGCTCCGAGGGGACCGGCTTCCTCGTGAGGCTCCCTGGGAAGGCCAGGCCTTGGCTCGCAGAACAGTCGAGGCTCTTGCCTCCTGATGCCTCGGTGCAGGAGCTCGGGCCTGGGCGAGGCTGCGGGGGAGGGGGCTAAGGGGTGAAGGCAGACAAGGGGTCCAGGGAGCCACCAAGGGCCCAGCTCCAGCAGCCCCCTTTGCTCAGGCCCGAGACCCGGGGTGGCCAGTCCCCTCTCCGCCTGCCCCAGTTTCTCCAGCGCCTGGCTCTCCCGCGGCCTCCGCTGTCCCTCCGCAGCTTCGCTGGCCTGCTGTTTGCATTCTCTTCTGGCCAGTGTTACTCTCCCGTGGCCGTGGCTGTGGCCGTGGCCGTGGCCGCCGCGGACAAACTACCGCGACCTTGCTGGCTTAACACCGCAGGTTTGCTTCCTCCAGTTCTGAACTCGAAATGCAGGCATCCCTGCTGGGCTGTGAGGTGTCGGCGGGCTGCGCACCGTCCAGGCTCGGGGGACCCCCCCACCCCCTCCAGCTGCTGGGCTGTGGCCTGCCCTGGCTCGTGGCCACGCCACTCCAGTCTCTGCCTCTCACGAGGACATTTCTGTGGCATCGAAGGCCACAGGGAGGCCAAAGTGTGCCCGTGCTCAGCTGCCCCAGTCACCTGCGCAAGGGTCCTTCCAGACGAGGCCGCATTCCCAGGGACCAGGGACCAGGACCTGTGTCTTGGGCCATGATTCAGCCTGCGACTACCTCCGACCTGGGCTTCACGCAGCACCAAGGAAGGGTTTCCTGAAGCTTTAGAGCCTGCGGAGGCACGCCTGCGGTCAGCGCTCACTTCACCTGGCCCCTGCGTGGCCCTCCAGCCAGCTCGGCCCTTCCCGGCTTTGCGCCCGGCCCACAGCGCCCTCTCCGCCCTCAGAGAAGCTATGGCGCTCGCTCTGCGTTCCCACGTGGGTCGTGCCAGGCTCGTGGGGCTGCTTCCCTGCCTCTGAGGTGGGTGCTGTTAGAGCCCCACTCCTCAGATGGAGAAACCGAGGCACAGAGCAGTGACTCACCCGTCAGCCCCAGCTGGAGCCTGGGCTCCGCCTCCCCCGTCCCCTTCCTTGGGGCCGGGAGCCCCTGCGCCCCTCACTGGGCTTCCACGCAGCCTGTGGGCAGACCACTTCGCC